ATTTCTAACTGGGCTCTTAAACTATAAATAGTTTAAGGTAGAACATAATAATCGATAATCCACCCTACGAGTCATGTGGATTACCGTACGTACGTTTTAACCCCAAATTACGAATTGGTCAAGGAGATATATCTTAGAGTTCTTCTGGATATCCTTAATAATCATCATCAATTTCCAAGTGGGTATATCTTAGAGTTCTTCTAGATATCTTTAACAATACACATCGTTTTCATAATCATCAATATATTTATTTTTATTCATGATTGAATCATTCATAATTATTATTTTAATAAGAATATTAATCAAAATCTGATAATAAACAACATCAATAATAATCATCATAATATCTAATAACAAATAGCAGGCTAGCATCGAGTATTAACATCCTAGCTTATCGTCATACATCATATAAGATTCTTTAGTTGTCCAAACATCATTTTTTACTCTAAGAAATTGTCTTTATATTGATGTAAAAAAAGGATTTTATATCTTCAAAAATAGCATTTTCAGACTTAAAATGTTCGTAACGGTCGACCGTTGGATCTGCACTGTCGTTCGCACCATTTTGGAAAACGCATGAAAAATGGAGTTACTATTCATCATCTCCAACCTTCGATCCAATTTCTCAAAACACCATAAAAGCTTCTAAGCTTTAAACTAACTTCATAAAAATATTTTCTAACATCTATAGATCACTCACAAACAATTTTTTTGAAGCTTTAACAACAAAACAATTTTGGTAAATTTGAATATCAAAATATTTATATTTCCAAATATATATGAATTAATAAGTTCAAGGATCATTCCAATGCCTTCTAAAGTTGTTTAAAATCATGGTATAGACCTGAAAATCGACGTGATGAAGCTCAACGAGTGAACGGGAGCGAAAACAACGTCGGAAATCTCAAAACTCGTCACTTCCCGTCACCACTGTACCAGCCCTGGTTTTCGGGCCATATCTCCTTCGTTACTCAACGCAATCGCAAACCGTTTGAAGCTACGGATTTGTAAGACATAATGCTACAACTTTCGTTTAGAAACCAGATTAAAATAATGACGTTTAGAGGGTGTAAAAATGCACAGGAGATGTTTTCTTCATTCAACTTTCCGAGACAAATTCCGGCAAGAACCGTGGCTACCTCCGGCGACTTAAACGGAGGCGAACACTTGCGGATTGTTCTCCATACAACAAGGAGTAGGATAGAAAAAGAAAGAAGAAGTTTGGTGTAGGGATGAAGGAGGAATTGTGCTACTTATATAGATGGGATGAAGAGGATGAAGCCAAAGGAATGTCCTCTTCAAATCCCCAATTTATGATTTGTAGCGGCTGGGTGGGATTTGAGGTGATTTTATACGCCTCTCCCTGATTGGGACTAAATTAATTTCAATCGGGGTACACTTTTTAGTCCAACTTTCTCCAAATTGAAATCTGATTGTACCGTTACGGTGAGACATTCAAGTTCTACGCGATAATATAATTTTCAGATTTTTTTGGAATACTTTTTCTAACACCATATTTTTGGGTGTTGACTTTGACAAAGTCAAAATTGAATTAATTGACATATAATTAAAAGTACTCTCATATTCAATCAATATTATTCAACTTAAATAACTTATTTCAATATATCATTTTACAAAAGTTCACATCTTTAACCACTACTCATTTTTATGCAAATTACATATTTATAATGTTACAACTCAAAATCCGTACATTAGATTTGTTAATAATATATCTCGTTGGGTTTGTCTCTTCGAGACCTATTCATAAAACTAAATCTGTAACAAAGCATCATTGACCCCAAAAACTCCTTCATTTTTGGTCAAACATAGAAATAATATTTTGTTGGATCAAAATATTGTTTTGAAATTCTTTTATCATAAAACAACTTTTAGGCCAGGTTTTGAGGCATTACAAGAACTATCAAATCTTTGTTCTTTGCATTTCATGTTAACCCAGGGTTTTACAGTACTTGCATCTTTCCTCTAGATTAACCCATGCTCTTAGATTTTTAGCATGGTAGCAAATGTAGTAAAAATAAAATAAGAGAACTAAAAAGGAATGGAGATAAGATAAGACATTGAGCCAAGATTTCATTTAAAAAAGTTACTCGTGTCACATATTAAGTTAATAATTGGATAATAAGGTTTATGTCACAAATAATTCATTAGACTTATTATGTTTAGGAACATATGGCTTTGATTAATTTTACTTCCTCATAGACAAGACTAAAATTAATCACCGAGATTTAACTAAACAAATTCGTGACTGTTTAATTTAGAAAAGACTAACTCTAAAACAATTATTCCAACTATTAAAATAAATATCATAGAGCTTTAACTTAAATTTAGTCGGGACCTAAGATCTGGATTCTAATTCACATTGCACTACTCGGATATTACACCGAGCATAAAAAGTAGATTTGATCTTTTATTAAGAAAAAATATGCTAGAATAACGAAAGTAGATTGATATTACAATATGTCAAAGGTTATTTGGTTAGAACCAAGCAGAATGTAAGAACAACTAAGTTTCAAAAGTATATCTTAGCCACAAATATATACAAAAACAACATGAATGTAAGGACGCGAGCTCCAGTTGCCCAAAATCCGACTACAAAACATGCATTGAATTTTGAGGGAAAATGACTGTATTTACAGGACAAATTGGAGGCTCAAAGATCAGATTTCTTAAGAAAGTAAATGATCGTTTACTTAGGTTAAGAAATGGTCATTTACATACTTTGTCAACCTTAATTTATTTTTCTCATGCACAATTTTTTTATATATTAGCACCTTGAGACTTATATCTTTTGCTTTGGTATTTTTAAGGAAGTTCCTTACTAATTTGGGATAATTCAAGTATGAATCTTGATCCTCTTTCCGTTCTACACAACTTTCATTTTTTTGTCATCTTCAGATTTTAAGTAGTTTGAGGGATGCTTTTTGAAATTTTTCCTTCTCCATTTCATGTTTTGTGTAGGTTATCAGGATTGAGAATGGCTTACGCAGTTTTGTTTCTAAATTTTTTTTCCACCCAAAGGTCTTTTTTATACTTTTATGACAACTTTGCCCTTGTCGATTTGTGTCGAAGACTATTTTGTAGGCTTTTCTCTTGAATTGTGCCTTTTTGTTTCGTATTTGTTCCCTTCTGCTCCGCAATATTTTTCACCTTTTCCTTCTAATAATTAACACAAATTCTACTAAAATTATAATACTTCCTCCGTTTGAGAATAAACTTTCCAGTTTGACTTTTCTCCATTTTTGTGTTGTTTGGCGACTCAGATCCCTACACGTGCACAATGATTGGGATTGAGAATAGTTTACGTAGTTTTGTTCCTATTTCTGGATCCATATGCCTTCTCACCATACTTTTCTAACAACTTTGCCCTTGTCGTTTTAAAAAAAAATTTCCCTTGCTGAGTTTGTGTTGAAATTGTAGGCTTTTTTTCTTGAATAGTATTTTTTTAAAATTCCGTATTTGTTCCTTTCTGAGGCTTCTTACGACACTCTTAAGAACGGTGGCCCGTGATGCCACAATTGTAGCATTTCCCCGCCAACTTAGTCTTCGCGATGCCTTCTTTAGGACTGAGTTTTTTCTTGTCTTTGTTTGGCTTGGGCCCTTTGGAAGAACCCTCCTTTGGTGGATGCTTCACCACATTAGCCTTAGTAGTAGTTCCTTTCTTCTCGTGAGCCAGGACCTCTTCTCGGATCCAAAGACGAACAATTAACTGTTCTAATGTCATTTCTTTCCGTTTGAGCTTGAGAAAGCTCCAGAACTCATCCTAAGCTGGCGGGAGCACATTAATGATCGCCGCTACTTGGAATGCTTCAGTAACTCACATTCCCACGTAAGTACACTCATTAAAAATGAGGATCAATTCTTCAACTTGATTGACCATGGGTTTGGAATCCATCATCTTAAAATAAAGAATGTTACCGACAATAAATTTTTTCACAACGGTATCCTCGATTTGATATTTGTTGGATAGTGTAGTCCATAACTCCTTTGCGGATGCTACCTTGCAATAAACTGCATACAAGGCATCGCTCAAGCAAATAAGGATAAAGTTAAGGCATAGATAGCTATTCACATTCCATGGCCCTTAGCATGAACTGTTGGCTCATCTGCATTTTCCCCCAGAGTAGGGTTGAGAAAACTGTTACCAGTGGAATAACAAAATAATTCTTTTAAAAAAAGAAACTATTATGTAGAACTCGCAATGTGCGTTAACATGAAGACATGAATACTGGCTACTAACCATCACCTTCAGGCATGACCTGTAAAAAATATTCTTGAACTAATCTATTTTACATAATCCTAAATGTAAATCATATTACTTAACTTGATATTTATAACAGCATAAAGAGCAGAAATTGGGTCATAGAGTTGATAACAAACAGAAGACAGTAAAGATGTGCAAGCCTATAACATTATACTCCCTCCATCCCACTAAATTTGGGACAAGTGAAGGTGGCATAGAAATTTAAGAAAAATTGATGGCTAGATGTTTTTTTTGAATGAAATGTCACATTCTCTCCCTTCTTATATTTGTGATTAGGACAAAGTAGGATGACCTGAATCCATTCCGATTTATTCTGATCCCGAATTTTATGGGATAAACCGGGATAAGATTGTTATCCGAGTGGGATAACATAAAATCCGGTCCGTCTCGATCCGTGCCCTCCCCTAATAAAAATACCAAGGATAAGACTAACTAAGAGTTCAAGAACCGGATACAGCCAGTTCGGTTCCATTAAGAGCCTTGGACCGTTATCCTAATGATGATTTCCAAAAGAGCAATGCTAGGGATACACCCTGTACCCCAAATGTACACCACTACCTTTTCCACCATCCAATTTTATTTGATTTTTATTTTTTTTTTGAATTTCTTACTAATTTATGTGGACAAGAAGGAGTGAGGGACATCTGGGGTACACCACACCAAGGAGTATTAGCATTTTTTTTTCCAAAATGATTTGTCTCCTACCTCTCTACAGTCTACTCACACATCATTCATTCATTCACACACTTCTCCGGCTCGGCGGCTCCACCAATTCTGCCGTTGCTGCTTCATCTCTGCCACACAAATACAAATCTAGAGTCTGCTTGCATCTCCTCTAGAAAATGAGCGATACTTCCAAGAGTAAAGATGGCAGCGCTTTTGAGGCGAAGCCGATCGCAGCCGTAGCCGACAGCAAATCTGCTTCATCGCCTCCGGCTCCTATATCCATCGGGAAGAAGCTCACCATCAAAAGTGCCGACATGAAAGAAAATATGCAGAAAGATGCCGTCAGTATTGCTATCGATGTAATTCTCTGTTGCTCCAGCCCAATAATTTTTGTTATACTCTTAAATTAGAGATTATTCTTATAGGTGTAGATGTGTATGTGAGTGAATGTATAGGCGTTCGAACGGCACAACGTGGAGAAAGATGTTGCTGAGTACATAAAAAAGAAGTTCGACCAAATGCACGGCCCGACTTGGCATTGCATTGTTGGCAAAAATTTTGGTAATCTACTTGCTCCTCTCATCCTGTTAATTGATTTACCTTTTATAGTGTTTGTATGACCTGCACAGTAATGAATGAATGAATGAATGTATAAAACATATGAGATTGTTTTGCAAATTAGTTATTTTTTCGGCCAATCACCTAATTAATTATATGCTATAGCTATGGAAACAAATAATGAGGTTTCATTGTTTTAAAAAATATCAGGACATGTTGAGGGGTCTAATATTTTATTTTAAAATATGTGAGGTTTCATTTTCCATTGTTAAAGAGGGTTAACTCAGTGACATGTAGCGAGTAGATGTATGAATGATTATAATGATCTTGAGATCTCCATATGCCAATGCATTTGTACATTGTTTAGCCTAGTTTCCATAATGCCAAAATTTACTCCGTATAATTTAATAAGTACCAATGCAGAATTGCTATGTGAAGTTCTGTTTTATTTTAAGGCCCAAGCAAACATGTATTCATAATAGTTTGTCACTCACCTTTGTGATGAATCCAACAAGATCTCATGTGAGGATATATATATCTTCATGTATAAATCAGAAAATATGATCAAATGCCATCGTGTGAATGAAAACCGCAGTGTTGTCTGGTGTCACGTCTGCACCGCATAAAGCTGCTAACTGCACCAGCTTATAACGTTCATGTAATGGCCTCTAGTGAGCTAAAACTAATAAGCCTATTTCGGGCAAGTATCAGGCTTCATAGTTTAACAGACGAGGCCCAAATATGGGCCTCAAGAGTAGTATTAGTTATGGACGATGATAGATGGAAAAAATTCTTCCTTATGACACCACCTTAGACCATTTTTTTCACTTCTTTTTTGTGGAGGCTGGCAAAAAATCCGTCATACCATTCTGCACTTTCATTGGCATGACCTCCATTTAACAACAGAAGAACACTGCTCATAAAACAACACTCTTATGATGCTCAAGTCTCAAAATATTCCTTGTGTATGCTGCTTCAACTCCATAATTATCCGATTTTTAAGCCTCTCTGGCTCTCTGCTCTGCAGTGTTGCGCAAGCCTTATGGCATCTTTCTAGCACCTCAAGTTGATGTGAACTTCAGCATCACCATTCTTATAAGATAATACCTCCGTCCCAAAATAGATTTCTTGTTCACTATTCATAGGGTCAAACGTTATCCACTTTCTTTGCATATTTTCATTACTCATTTGATAAAATAATAGTCTTGTAACCTCGTATTTTGCAAAACTTTTGATGTATTTTTCAAATATATAAGTTTTACTCCGTTTTTTTTAATTTCTACACCAATTTTCAAACCAACATACACTGACACTTCTTTATATCTCATTGATAAAATATTGTTGCAAGGTCATGGTACCTCAAGGTATATCTATCCATATAGCCTACCAGAGGGGTTTTAGATATTGTTTCTCAAATGCCAGTTGACTTGGCAAATTACATAAACTGTGTTGAGTGTATTGTTGACCTTGCATTGCTGAGAAGTGGAAATATTTATGGATATCTACTTCTTTTCTCTAAGCTGTGATTAGTTATGAAGACTATTGCTCTAATATTCGGTCTATGCAGCTGCCTGACCAAAAGGAAAAACCTACTCGGTCAAAAACAATTGGTCCGACACATGTAGGCAGACAGTCAAGGAAGAAATTTATTCTTTTGCATTATGGGGCAGTCCCTCTATATTTTTAATATTTAAGCACACCTGTATAGATAGCTATTGGATATCTTTAATTCTTTGTTATATGCACTAAATCTATATGGAGGTGAAGGAACATTTAACTTTTTGTCACTGAGGAAAATATGATATCACTTCTCACCAAATTCACAGCATTGATGGTTGCCTTAATTGTTCATGCATGAAGTTTCTATTAGGCACCAAATGGTCCAAACTTTCATTTTCATATATTGGAAACTAATCCTTATTTATCGGGAAACAAATTGTCTATGAGTGATATGCTGACTTCCAACTAGCTACCTTGAAGGATGATCCGAGCCCCCAGTTTTGTTATTGGCGTGCTTACAATTGGCTTATGGAGCAATCACATGTTAATTCATATCCTGGATCATGTTTTCCCTGTTAAAAGAAGTTGATGTGGGCCTGTGGCACTTGTAGGCACAAATTCCATTTTTGCTGCTCTTATCAATATGACGGTTACTCATTTTCATTTTAAAATAAATGCTCATTTACATATGTGCTGGATTCGGCATTTTCACGGTACATCCAAATGTATTATATTTGTTTCTACATTGGCATCCCATGGTTTCTTGTGCTTCTTTTTTTCTCACAGAGAAGGCCGTGTATCACTCCTTGGTCCTTAAGCTTATTTGTGTGTTCAAGTCAAATGTGTTTTCATTTTGTATGTAAGGTTTATGAAATTTACATTTCAACTTCTTTACGATTGACTGCATTGAATGGTTTACCACTTTGTCTTCCTTTTTTTTTGTCCGTGCAGGTTCTTATGTAACACACGAGACAAACCACTTTGTGTACTTCTACCTGGATGCAAAAGCCGTACTTTTATTCAAGTCCGGGTGAGCGTGTCAAAGATACCGAAGGGAAGACGACTAAAGCAACAGTGGGGTGCTATAGGCCCGTGCGTCAAGTGTATTTCGTCGCTCCACTGATGTGCAAATCATGTAGGCTGAAAGGCAGTGTATATTTTGTTTTTTCTTTTTCTTTTTTTGTTTATTTTTTTGTTTTTTCAGTAAAGGACTTGATTTGGACTTGGAGTGTTCCCATCCGAGAGTTTGGCTTCTTTATAAAAGTAAATGAACTTTGCAATGGTGCCCATTGCCACATACGGGCTTCATCGCAGGCAGGTTCTATGAATTAGTTTCATCATCCTCCGATGTGTGTTAAAGAAAACACGAACATCCGGCGAATGCCGCAGCCACGTAATTTTCCCTAGTACTTCCTCCTTCCCAAATTAATGTTCATAGTTTGACTTTGCACGAGGTTTAAGAAAAAGTCAAATTGTGATTGAAAATGACAAAAATTGCTAATGGGTATCTTCGATTTTGTGATAAGAACTTTTAGGTCCCACTGTCTTTAAAAATATATTCCGAGGTACCTTAAACTATTCGAAAATTAACTCCAGAGAGACTTCCCATCCATCCATCTGTCATATTTATTTTTTCCGTTATCTTTTTATCATCTTCTTCCTAAAAATTGCTACAAGGTACCTCCAAATTTCTAAAATTTTTTTAAGGTCCTATCATTTTTAAAAATATACTCCATGTACCCTAAAATATTCAAAAATTTACTTTCTGGGACTTCTTTTTCCTTCTTTTACTATTATTATTATTAGTATATTACTCTGTATTATTATTACTATTATTATTAGTATTGTTATATTATTATTATTACTATTATAATTTTTTCTATTATTATTATTATTATTATTAATATCACTCACTTTGCCATTGTCTTCCAAAGTTGTTTATGGCCGCCGCTTTTGCCTATCGAGTGACAATGTATTTTCTCCCCATGTACTCTAATAATAATAATAATAAGCATTTTCATTTCAAAATTGGAGGTACTTAAAGTATTTTTTGGAAGAAGATGATGAAAAGATAACGGAGCAAGTGAATACGGGCGGTGGGATGGACGGAAAGTCCCCCCATAGTTAGTTTTCGGATATTTTAAGGTATTTCGAAGTATATTTTTGAAAACAATGGGACTTGAGAGTTTTTATCACAAAACCGAGGGTAACCAGTAGTAATTTTTTGTTGAAAGTGATGCAGATAAGAGAGAAAAAAGATGAGCCACAAAAAGCTTTCCAATAAAAGAAAGAAAAAATAATTTGGGACAGCTCAAAAAAGAAATAAGGAGGATTAATTTGGAACGAAGAGAATATTAAGTTGGTTCCTCCAAATGATGCACCCGTTTGTTTAGCCCAAAACGTAATACCCATTAAGCTCATTTGGTGAGTTTTGGAAGGTAAATATGATGTGAGTTTTATATGTGAAAGAAATGATATGAGTTCTGAAATTTGAACTGAAGTTGTTTGGAAAACTTTGAAATTATGACTTTGTGATATGTGGGATGGTCGGAAACCGGGGGTGGGCGATGATGGTGGTAGCTGGAGGATGAGGGATGATGGACAGTTGAGGAAGATATCAAATCAAAACTTCCTTATTTAAGAGTTGTGATATTTGAAGACATCGAATTCGGATCTTATTTATACAAACTACTACCTTCGTCCCAAAATTATATTCCGAATTTAAATTAGCAAGATTTTAAATAAAGTGAAATATGGATAGTTGTGGTTTGTGTAGAAGAAAGAGAATTGCTTTGGACCACAGATCTATTTCCTTAAAACGAAATAGGAAGAAAATTTTAGAACAACCTAAATTGGAAAAAAAGATAATTATGAAATGGGAGAGTACTTAACAGATAATTCAAATATTCAGAGTTATCAAAACCTCCCTATCTTATATGCATCATGGTGAAAAGTTCAAAACTAAATTGAACACTCCAAATACTTTAGTCGACTTGTGTTTTTTTATTCTTTCATACACTAGTTTTTCCGACTTGCATCGTGCTAAATTAAGCCTCTTAAATCACATCTCAAGAACTTTAGAGAAGGCAATTTGGACTCTTTCATCCTCCAAGTTCCTACGTAGTATGCATACTTCCAGCACAAGGAATAACCCTTTCCTTCTTTTTTCTCTTCGCCGGAGCTCCGTCGTCTCTTGGGGTTCTACTGGCCAGCATCCACAAGGAAGAGGGAGAGAGAGGGGGTTGGATGGTTGGTGGGTTACAAAATAATGGAGGAATGAAGGGAGATGGTGTGTTTATATTAAAGGGGAAGTAATGGAGGATTAAAGGTGGTGAGTGGGAAATTGAAGAGGTGAGTGAATGTGAAGAGGGGAGAGGAAGTGGCGTGGAGTTTTGATTAGGGAGTTACCTCACTAAATTCCACTCCGTTGTGTAAAGTTTGATGTGTACGGTACGTGGTTTCCCCCCCGAACTTGCCCGAATTGAAAACTGATTACATTTTCGGAAATAATCAGTCAAAACTAAATTTATGATATCTTCAAAATAATTTTCTAAAAACTTGATTTTCAAACTTTCTAGTCAATCCCAATCATTAATTAATTAATTTAATTAATTATTGTTGAGAGGCCCGTTATTAAAATACATTAACTTTGGAAGTCCATTTAATGATACCGAAATCTCAATATTTATTACTTAAAATATTGAGTCTCAATAAATAGATAATATTTATTTATTTAAAATATTGACTAACTATTAGGCCGGTTTGCAAGGCGTTACAATTATCTCCCCCTTAAAGGAATTTCGTCTCCGAAATTCTCCTCAAGTCACACCTCACGTGTTTAGGGAAATATTGCGTTACCCAAAACTTTATTTTACTGTTACACATTGAATTACTATTTTGCAAAACACCTCCAATATATCTTTAACAAAATGTAGCTAGATAAGTGATTTTTACTAGGTTTCGTTGGCAAGTTGAAGTCAAGGTTCATGTTGATAACAATAATGACTTTTCCTTACTCCTAAGTAGTTGGAAAGAAACATTTATGTCCATAAACCTTTTTTTACAAGCTTTTCCTTACGATGTCATTCATTACGATCAACTCGACTGGTGGGTGATAGTGGAGTTTAATTAGCACTACTCTGCACTTCGATGCATGGTTCTAGTCATCAATGTTGCTTCACCTAGAAGTGTTGAGAGTTGAATGGTTCACCCGCACAAATTTACACCAATATCCTTAACTACGCTATCATGATTTAGGGATCTTAACGAATAGTTCCCTTTGAAGGACAACAACAACAACAACCCAGTTGAATCCCACTACAGTAGGGTCTGGGGAGGGTGTGTGTACGCAGACCTTGCCCCTACTCGGAAGTAGGGAGGCTAGTTCCCTTTGAAGGAGCATTCATTATACACTTGCCTCGAGCATTTCAATAACTATTGATATTTTGTCTTCTTGGTTCCATAAGCAGTTGTCATCATGGTCATATACGGAGAAGTGTTACCTCTTACGTTGCCGACAAATTGATTCGTCTTTAGAAAGAATTCAAAGAAATTAATCGGGTCATTAATTTTGATGTCCCTTCGAATCTTATAAGTTCAACTCGTAGTTCAATTAAGGTGTTCGGCGAAGGGTTTGTTTGCTTCCTTCCCCTTGACGGTGTGATAGGTGACGTGGTAGAAAAAGTCAATGTTTAGGTTGAGTCAACTTCTCTTTTGATAATCAAACTCTTACTCTAACCGCAAGGTTCTTCGGCCCATATGTTGTAGGTATGCGCCGCCATGCTCTAGGGAAGAGTACCTCCGAGCCTTGGAGTGTAACGGTCACAACTATCCTTCACAAGTCATTTTTTGAGTGATTCTACCCTATCAGCCATTGTCTCCATGTGTCCAACATTCGTAGTGGTTCAAGTTTGCTTGAGTTGTCACTCATACGAGGGATTTCTTGAAAGGCTTGGTGGTTTCCCGTTGTTGTAGTTGCTTCCTCGGAAGGTGCCATTTAATTACATAACCCACTAAGGTTACACGCAATCTCCCCGATAGATCATTTCTATTCGTTCGATGTCTGCCCATTGCTTGTGTGGGAGACGGTTAAGCATAACACTTGCTCAACCCCTCAGTTGATCACAGGTAGTTGACGATGTCGCAAGGATTCTCATCTTGGGAACTTTAACCTTCCGGTGAATGTCCTTTGGTGTGTAACTAGTCATCTATTATCAAATATTACATTTGTAGTCTTTCATGGGTAGCTTTTCACAGATAGTTCTTTGTTTTACCTTTCCTCATGCTAGTGCTAAATTGAAAGTTAAATATATAATTTCACATGCACCTTATATAATTTCACATGCACCTTATAATTTCCTCATGCTTCGGATAGAACTCGCTAATGCTGTGTCCATTTGCCCGTGAGATCGCTGCCCACTGCAATCATTGTCCATAGTTGTCATTGTCGGTTGGACTCTAAGTTTAGAGCCATTGTGGTTGTGTTGTTCATCCCACATTTGAAGTACTACTACTTTTTAGTCTCACTTTATTGTTTTTAATACATAATCTATATTCTAAAAAATTTACATTTTTCATAAATCATATATATATATATATATATATATATATATTTNTTATATATATATATATATATATATATATATATATATATATATATATATATATATATATATATATATATATATATATATATATATATAATTCAAATAAAAATTTAAAACTAATAAAATATAAAAATGTTAAGAGTAGTACATATAATTATATTGAGTTTAAAAACTAAAACCTAGGAACATATTATTAAGTTTAATTAAATCTAATTAAGAGTAGTGCATATAATTAATTTATATGTTTAATACTTCATCAATCTTAAAATAGATCACACTCTTTACTCTCCCTATGCAACATTATGATTACTTTTGTATGCTTATATATTTTCATTGAATACTTAGGCCCCGTTTGGTACACGAAATTCAAACTATGGAATTGGAATTGAGGAATTCAATTCCAATTTTGGTGTTTGGTAGCACAAATTATGTGGATTTGGAATTGATAGTGTAAAAAATGAATTGGAATTGGTAGAATTCAATTTTATGGAATTGAATCCCATGAAATTTCAATTCCAATTATGTCAATTCCGTATACCAAATGGACCCTTATGGTTCGTTTGGTACACGGAATTGATGGAATTGGAATTGAATTGGAATTAAAATTCCATTGATTCAATTCCATAGAATTGATTTCATCAATTCCAATATAATTCAGTTTTTGCATTACCAATTCCAAATTCACATAATTTTTGTGCTACCAAACACGAGAATTGGAATTCAAGTCCTTAATTCCAATTCCATAGTTTGAATTCCGTGTACCAAACGGGGCCTTAGTAAAATAAAATATTCTTCTCATATATTATTTTGTAGAATAAAGTAGTTTTTAAATATGTGGTATATGAGTTTATCTTTATATCTATATCAAAATTTAAAGAAAATGGTTTTAAAAAACATAAGATTTTACCATGTATCTGCCTCTATATAATTTATTCATTTTGGAAGATAGGAGTAATAAATTTGGAGAACCCCCAAATTTATTTTGGAATTTAATCTTTCAAAACATAAATAGGTCGGAGTCATTCTAAAAAACCTACTAAACTTTCATAAGTCACACTGCCATCTGCAGCCGCTACCTACCACATGTGCTAACGCAGGTTGTCGACCTTGACTACCATCACCATTGAGCGATGGTCACAATCGCACTACCACCACTACATTGCCATTCATCACGCTTTGTCACACTCATATTTTGACATTTTAAACTAGGTCATTCTTATTTTGATTACCTTCATCTCAATGTATGTGTCTAATTTTATTATTTCGAGTAAAACTGGTTAAACATAAAACTTCAGGTACTTTCAGTTTATATTAAATATTAGTACAATAAAAACAAAATTTTAAAAGTTTTCAACAAAAATAATCTAATAAAATCAATGTTATGCCAATATACATTACGAGTACAATTTTTATTCAACTAAAGCTCAAAATTTGTTTTGTTTCAAAAATTTAAATTAGAGGAGAAAAACCAAAATAGGATTAAAACATTAAAAATATACCAAAATAGAACTTCAATGTTTTTATCCTTGAAATAGGATTTACATTACAAAACATAGTCATATACATTACCAAAAAAGTATAGTAATGTGCACATGTACAGTGCCACATTACCACAACGCAAAGTCCTATTTCGAGAAAAAAAGCATGAAAGTCCTTTTTTGGTACTTTTCTCAATGTTTTAGTCCTATTTAGGGTGATTTCAATAAATTAGACAAATTTACTTGGACAGAGAGAGCATTTTCATTGTATGAAACATCTTTACTCTTACCTAAAGATAATTTTTTTTATCCGCATGTGTAGGTCAACTAGTCTAAAGAGAGGATGCCAAAATCGCTGATCCTAGGGTCAAATCCCAGCAACGGCAGTGTGAGAATTCTATTATTTGTAATAACTCAATGTGCATACCAGACAAGGAATATATTTTCTAAGGATAAGATTGAGATTATATCATAATTTACCCCTTACAATTCTATCGGATCCGGGTGTGGAGTGCCCCGTTCCACCTAAAGATAATTTTTTAATAAATTGGGTGAACAACACGTCAACACCCAAAGTATACCAAATTCTACCACTCCTCGGCTCCACCCCCTAATTTTCCCTAATTTGTGGATTATGTCCCAACCTCGCTCGTAAAGAAATGTTAGTCCTTCTTCGTATGGATAAACTAAAGGCAACTGGTGTACGAGTGTCCCTTTGTGCCAAACTCCATTTTGATCATCTTCTTCATTTGTTTATATTTACATTTGGTGCAACAGATGAACAGAAGGACCATTAGTTAATCAATGAGAAAAAGTGCACCGTTTACCCTCGAATTCTTTGAAAATTGTACGGTTTACTCCCGAACATTAAAAAGTGCACCAAATATCCCTGAATTCTTCAAAAATTGCACGCTTTACCCCTGAACAATAAAAATTGCCCCAAATATCCCTAAACTCTTCGAAAATTGTACTGTTTACTCCTGAACGTTTAAATAAAGACGACATTTTTGGGGAAAGATACTTTGGAAAATTCACAAGGGTCAGATGAATCATATTCGCAATTCTTGTGCGTGGAAGCAACACACTCCCTATCTAATAGTTTAGGACCAACGATGTAACGTTTTAATTTGTTCAAGGGTATTTGGTGCAGAAGGGGTAAATCGTGCAATTTTTGAAAAGTTCGAGGGTAAACGGTGCACTTTTTATAATTCAGGAGTAAAGCATGCAATTTCTAAATTTCTAAATAGTACGGGGTAAATAAAATCAATTACAGTAATCTTTATCGGTTGATCTACTCTACTTCTTTCAATAAAACGTTTAGGAAATACATTGAAAAGAAAATTCATTATCTTTTGGACAAGTGTATACCTCAATTCGCATATGATGCTTTGCCGGAAAATTTATCGGAAAAACTTGTGGTCCTCCTCCGACCGGCTGTTTCTCTACTCTCTCAGCGGTGTTTCTCCCTCACCGGAAACTTCCCGTATACCGGCGGCATGGAAGACAGTTCAAGCTGCCGAATGTTGCTCGTCAGCTCACTCCAGTAGATGCGCCACGACGTCGTTTAGCTCTTATAGTCCATTTGCGACTGTGAGTTTCTCATTTGGTGTTTCTAAGAGTTATGCCTGCTAGTTAAGTTCATTAGTTTTGTTGAATTGTGAGTGCATTTGCTTAATAGTGTTTCCGATCAGTCTTTTTTTGTATTACTGTTTTGTATTAGTATCAATGGAATAGATATACCTAGTAATTTGTATGTCTGTGTGAAGAACTCAGAAAATTCAAATTGAATTTAAAATGCCATTTTTTTGGGCAATTTACCTCGAAACAGCAGAACCCAGAAATGCCAATTCCGGGGGTGTGAAGAATAGAAATGTTGTTTTACATTGTGATACTAAAATGAGATTGTTGTTATCCAATTTGCTTTTGACAGTTGAAAGCTAAATCTTTTGGCCTGCAAGGCTATTCATTTTCCACTCAAGCACGGGCTTCAAATCCCGAGGGTGGGATAATGGATGTCCCTTTAGCACAAACCGGAGAAGGGATTGCTGAATGTGAACTTATAAGATGGTTTGTTCAGGAGGTAAGTTTTTGCCTCCCCGAGTTCTTGATATGATATTGCTTACATGCTTTTTGTATCTTTTCTGGTTATGATGAAATTGTAAGGGCAAAAGTGATCAATCATCCACCAGATTAGGATTTTCTTATTAGACTCGATTAATATAATTTCAGGGAGATCAAGTTGAAGAGTTTCAACCACTTTGTGAAGTTCAGAGTGACAAGGCCACCATAGAAATAACAAGTCGCTACAAGGGGACTATTTCCCGCATTCTTCATGTTCCTGGGAACATCGTGAAGGTTACACTGGAATGCCTCAAACAACTTCCATGTTTCATACTGTGATCATAATAGGAATCTTGATTATATTTGGTGGAAAATGGGCACGTATTTTGCAGGTAGGAGAGACTCTGTTGAAAATTGCCGTGGATAAAATTTCCGGTCCTACCCAGACTGTAATTGTTTATGAAAAGAATGAAGAAAGATACAGCCCGGCAAGTCGCTTAGATGATCATAGTTCTGTGTCTGGGAATTCCAAGACTGATGGAGTGTTATCCACTCCTGCCGTTCGTAACCTTGCGAAGGAATATGGTATAGACCTAAATGTTGTCCCTGGAACTGGCAAGGATGGAAGGGTACTTAAAGAAGATGTCTTAAACTTTGCAGTCATTAGAGGAACCTTAGAGAAAACACCAGCATCCTCAACTCCGGCAGACCAATCACAAAGTGTGGACCCTAAGATATCTACTTCTCATGGGTTGGATTATGAAGACAATACAATTCCCCTAAGGTTTTTTCGCCAATTAAATTTATAAGACTTACATTTTTTTTATATTTCTTGTTTTTACGCCAGCTTACTTTTCTTCGATTGATAATAAAAGCTATTAAAAGATTGATTGTGATGCCTTGCAGGGGATTCCAACGGGCTATGGTTAAATCAATGACCATGGCCGCAAAAATTCCTCATTTTCATTACGTCGAGGAGATAAATTGTGATGCACTGGTAGAGCTCAAGGGATCATTCCAGAAGGGGAACTCTGATCCAGATGTCAAACACACTTTCCTTCCTTTCCTACTAAAGTCACTTTCAATGGCTTTAACAAAATATCCTATGCTAAATAGTTGCTTCAAAGAAGAACTTTATGAAGTTACTGTAAAAGGTTTGTAGTTTTTCTGGATCTGTTTAGTTCGAGAATCTCAAAACCTTGGATCACTTTCAGCACTCATGATAATGTTGTATCTTGTGCACATACACATTTCACTTAAGCTTATGTGAGCCTTTGATGGTTTTAGGGACATTCTTTATTCACTGTTCATGATAAATATGATTTCTTTGTGCTGGATGCACCCTTAAGAATGCTACTGATGGTCATGATCGTTTTGAATGAGAATTCTCATATCGAGAAGCCTCGAGTAACAGCTAAAGTAAATGTAAATATCATCCTGCAATTGATATGTAATTAACTTCAATTATTGCCTTGTGATGTGTACCTTGTAATAAAGCTTCTCTGTAATCACATTATGCTGCAGAACTTAGCATTAAGGACATTAATACGCGTGCCAATTAACTCATTTTGCTTATGTGTCTAGGTTCTCACAACATTGGGATCGCAATGGCTACTCCACATGGGCTAGTTGTTCCAAACATAAAGAAGGTGCAGTCGCTATCAATTTTGGAGGTTAGTTTATCTTAACTGAGTAAACTTAATGTACTATATAAAGAAGTCTTATCCAAGAATAGTTCCATTATACAAAAATTATGAGTAATTACCTTGATAAAAAAGAAAGTCATAGGAAATCACAAATGACCACCACATTTTCTTCTGAGTTGTAATTCCAGTTCTCCATTTGACATAAATTTATAAGCGTAAAATTTGCCAATTCTTTGAGTAATTAAAAAATTGAGAAAGCGGTAGAAAGAAATGGTGTCTGGGTTCACTTCTATCACGACTCATTTTCTCGGCCGATATATTTTGCTCTGATCCGCCACATATACAGTATGATCTGATACAAGTGTTTGTGTTTGAAAGATTACGAAGGAGCTTTCAAGGTTGCAAAAGTTGGCATTGGCCAACAAGCTTGACCGTGATGATGTATCTGGGGGAACTTTTACTCTAAGCAACATCGGAGCAATTGGTGGAAAGTATGGTTCCCCTCTTATCAATGCACCTGAAGTGGCGATCATTGCCATGGGCCGAGTCCAAAAAATCCCCCGTTTCACTGAAAGTGGTAGTGTGTATCCCGCTTCAATATTGACGGTAAGCAAGTGATTGATGATTAACTTGTAACTACACCTTATTAGCTACCTCCTCCATTCCACATTAGTTGTCCATTATGACTTTCTTGATACATTGCAAAATGAATGAATGTAGACATAGGTTATGTCTACATTCATTCATTTGTCAATGTACCAAGAAAGTCATAATAGACCGTTAATATTGAATGGATGGAGCATCACTTAGTTTGCACGCTTCATTTCAGGTTAATGTAGGAGCCGATCATAGAGTCCTCGATGGAGCCACAGTTGCAGGGTTCTGCAATGAGTGGAAACAACTCATTGAGCAACCCGAGCTTCTCATGCTTCATATGAAATGAGTGTTCCATCGTTTATTTGTCTTCAAAGAAAAGACAATCTTTATATTGACTATCTTTTTCATTTTCATCTGTAATGATAAGCAATTGATCGTCGTGGTCTTCCTCCATTTGTGTAGGACCAAGTTCAAGAAAAAAACAACATTTGTAGATTTATAGAGCACTATTGTATATTAGAGAACATTTTTTCCGAAGTTAATAAACTTGTAAGATGCGATTCAGCACTTAGCAAATCCTATACTATAATATTTTTCTTACGGAGTATGTACCATATAAAAAATCTTATGTTTGTTTCATACTCGCATGCCCATTGCATGTGTGATGTCGATTGCCTTAACAAAATTTAGGCATAAAAACGAAGTTTGGGAGACTCCAAAACTCTTTTTAGGCATAAAAACAACAATAATGTTAGAGGTACACTGAAATGGGATAGCTCATTTGTACAACAAGAAAAAATAGACAGACATAGACATTTTGTGTCTGTGCACACATAGACATTGAGTGTCTGTGTGTGTTTTTTTTACTTGGTGTACAAAGGGGTACACTATTTTGATATAGCACTACCCAAAAATCTTAATAACGAGAAAACCATAATAATGCGAATTCACGTAGGTTTAGCCATGTAATCTTATGAATATAACGATATGAAATATACTACGGATTCTAAAGCTAGCGGCAACGTACTCACCTCCAGAACGAAGGGGTTAACGGACAGAAACGAGATGAACGAACGAACGAACAAACGGACAGACAAACGGCTTCACGCGCAAGCCTTATTCCCTTCTTCCTTCTTCCTCACCTCCTCGTCGGAATTGCCTCCCTTGGCTACTGCTTGGCCGAACATAAAGAGAAGGGGAGAGGGAGAGTTGAGTGTGTGGAGTATTGGGGGTTACAAATGTGGTGGATGAATGAAGGGAGAGGGTGTTTATATTAAAAAGGGGAGTAAATAGAGAATTAAAGGGAATAAATGGTATGGAGAGAGAGGGAGAGTGGCATGTGGAATTATTTTGGGATTTATCTCCCTAAATCTCACTCTGTTGTATAAATTCTGACCTGAACGATACGCACTTTTTCTCCCGAATCGAGATCCATTTGTGTTTCTGGAATCAGACAGTCAAGACGATTATTATGGCGTGATCAAATAATTTTTCTAAAAACTTAATTTTTCCCAACCCTGGTCCGAGTTAGTAATTAATTAATTAAATTAACCAATTCTACTAGACCAGGTTTCAAGGCGTTACATTGTGTCCAAACCGTAGGCTTTTTTTTGTATAAAGTCTATGGCATATATGCATGAACTCGCAAAAGAGTTTTGAAGTTCATTGTCAATGAAATACAAGGACGTGGATGTCGGTGCGAAGAAATTCGTTATTAGTATGGTCTTGTGTTTTAAGAAGGAAACCTTCAGTGGTTAGTTATGTTCAATATTTGAACTCGTTTTAATGAGTTCAGTACCGAGGGCATGGGGTGTCAGTGATGCCTTCCAAGTTGTGGAAATTATTCACTTACTCCCACTATCTTGAAATGTGTTCCAGAGTAATTTTTAGCTCAAACTGAAAGAGATGAGTCTTGGGCAGTTATCTCTTTGCCTCAATGTCCATTAAGACAGTTTGAATAGTGAGGACAAAGAGCTACTCCTTTGAAGGATAATTCTTCTAATGACCCAAGGCTATAAATGGCAATAAAGTAATAGGTCCTAGAGGAGTGGTCTCTTGATATGGACACCATTGATCACCTAATTTGGGTCTAACGAATTATATGTTAGCAAGTGGGATATACACATAGGTAATGACCATGCGCATTTTGGCCATTATTAAGGCAATGTCCTTATTGATCTTAAGGAACTCATCGATTGCCTATGTGTGTGTCTTCTAATTTGTAGCTTAGTAGACAACGACATGTTAATTACGCATCTCTTCGAAAATTAATTAACATGGAATATATCCCTAAGTTTGACATCAGCATGTCCCACATATGTGAGGTGTTTGTCGAAGCAAAGTCAACACGAAGTTCGTTTCAAACGATTGAACAAACTACTCATCCCCTAGATTTGATTCACAATGACCTGTGTTATTTTAAAGCAACACTTTCAAAAGGTGGTAACAAATATGTTATTACTTTTGTCAATGATAGAACGAAATACTGCTATATTTATTTACTTAAAAGTAAATAAATATATTTACTACATTCACATAAGAAGAAGAGGAGAAAAAACAACGGGTTGTATCTGAGCTCGACAAAGTCTGAGATCCACGATGGGGCAGGAAAAGCGATGAAGGATTGCGTCGAGTCGACCATTCCTTTCGATGGGGATGAAGGAGTTGTGATGAAGAAGCAAGACGTCCATCTGACTCGTCAGAAGAGGATATGAACTTGGACTGTGAATATGTTATTTCTATTCTTGTATTATATTATTTTGTGTATGGGCTTGGCCCAATGACATTAGCCCGATGTTACTAGGTCTTTGTTAACTTGTATTTATACTCCATTATTATTGGATCACAAATCAGTTTGGTTTGCACAAGATTCCTTCATAGTATCAGAGCAACTCCCTGGGATATTTTTCGAACTCTAGCTTCTCTCGATTTCTCTTCCGCGAGAACATTTCGACGCAATCCTGCTTGGGGATTAATGCAATCCTGCTTCAAAATCGATCGATCTCAAACACAACCTCCCTTAGTTGATCGGGCGGCTGTAGGATTTTCTTGTACAGTCGATTGTACGTAATAACTTGCACATATCTTGAGATTTTAAAATTTGAATTCGGCTTTACGAGCTAAGCCTCTATTCCGAGCGAGGGAGGCTCTTATTCCGCTTCAGAGACTCCTGGGTTTAGTCTATGCCCCGAACTGGGTCTATTGATCATAACCAAATATTTGTATTAAAAAATTGATATCTAATATATGAAATGAATCACATATCTATATTGTTAACCAACAAGACCCTTACTGCTCGGTATCCAGATCTTTGTTAGCTTATTCGAGTATTATACAGTCGTACGTCAAATACGCGTGTTATACTCCCGAATATGAATTTTTCAAATGACAAACGTATAATACACGTATTTTTAACCCTAAACGTATTTACGAATTTTTTGCGTATTAAATCATAAAAATCATCTTCTTTCGAATCCAATAATCAAAATTTAGAAGGTCAACTTTTTATCAGATCAATTTACTTGATTGTCTTGTTCCCAAAAATGCAAATCTTCAAAATTTGTTGACACAAAAATTGTAAAAGTATTAGAATCAGAATGCACTTCAAGTCATTCACCAACGTCTTTTGTTAATTAAATATCATCCATGGTCTACTAGTCTCTTCGACTCCATCTGGGAGTCCAACACTCCTACTACTTTTACAAATAGTAGGCATCAACATTATCCTTATTTTTTTTTAGATTTTTTAAATGTAATCAATTTTTTGTATTTAGTTTTTGTGGTTAAATATTTATCGACGTTTAAAAATATAAATTTGATTTCATTTGTGTGATCTAAATTCTAAAAATATAAGTTTGTAACTGCATTTTTCATTCTACAAATGAAAATTATAAAGTTTACTCAATTTTAGATTGCGTAAAAGCTTATTTAATGAGTTTATATTTATATATTACAAAGACACTTGAATCTTCATTTAATATTTGTGATGGGCATTTATCAATTTCGTAAAACTCAAATTGTCTAATAATATACGGACGTACACTACAAAAAAACCCTGAATTGCATGGAAAAATTCTGCCGCAATAGAGCTTTTTTCGTAACAGATTGAAAAACTGCAACAGATTAGCTACGGTAAATATCCGTCGCAGATGTTTTCGTCGATTCTTCAATTTGCGACGGAAAATAGCGGGCGTAGTTAAAACTGCAGCGAAGAGATGACTTTTTTGTCGCATGTTAGAGCAAATTCTCCATTCGTATCTAAATGTTAGTTTCATTTTTAACGTGTTCTTATATTATGTGGAAGTACTTAATTTTATTGAAAGATAATCTTTGGATACACATGAAAAAATGAATAAACAAAAAATCGTAGAATTGATTGATTTTTTAGAATTTTATGGTGTATTTGTATTCAATTTCAATGTTAAAAGTGTCTTTCTTATCAAAAATATTTGTACTAATTATAAGTTGTATTCTTGAAAAATCAAACGTATATAACACGAACATACGTATCCGTATACGTACCCTGAACGTATAAAATGTATAATAAGGCATATTTTTAAAATGTGACCCATATTATATATGAACGTATGAAAAAATGTATTATACACGTATCTGAATAGGCTAAAAAAGATCCTAGTAACCAGATGGGTTAATAATAAAAGAGTAAAATAGGCTAAAAAAGATCCTAGTAACCAGATGGGTTAATAATAAAAGAGTACTGCAAATCTTCAATAATAATCGATCGCTTAAGAAGCCTGGAACCGCTTCTAACCGTTTTGCCTTCCTTTCAAACTTTCCCGCTTACTTTACTGCAACTCCAGATCTTCGTTCCCAAATAGATATTTTTTTTAATCTCAACTGGTGTATCTCTACCATGGCCACCGAAAATCTATTTCCCGGCATCATCCTCATCTCAATCTTCACAGCATCTCTCTTCATCCGTACCCTTTCAACCCCAGGTATTATTGATTCAAACATTCAACTAGATGTGGCTTTAATTATAGAAGCTGTTAAACTAAAAATTAAATCTTTCATGGTTTTCCAACTGAAGAAATCTTGAAATTCACTAAATGGGATTTTGTTGTGCAGAAGTATCCACTCTGCCCACCTTCGCATTTGCTTGGTTGAATGAAGACGACACTTTTGTGGCGGGGGAAGTGGCGACTATAAAGGTTATAGTGCTCGGGAATTTTGAGAAGGAGAAATATGAATACCCTTTGAGTCCCAACATCACTGTCAATGATAAGATGGGAAATAGCTCTTTCGTTTCTGGGATTTCTTTCCGATTTGGTGCTGATGTTAACTCCTGGGCCATTTCTTTCATCCCCATCAAGGCCGGATTGTTCAATGTGCTCATCACGGATGACCATTTCAATGTATTCGATTCGTCCATGCATTTCCGAACCATCCCAGGTTTTGGTTTGGCTCTTACTTCTGACATTTAGTAACACTTAAAGTGTGATTGAAGTTTGTAGTTCTTTGTTCAATTATTGGATGAATCTTATAGATAAGATAATGCTTTTAACTTTTTGAGTCTTATGAACAATTCCTTTCTGCTGTATTTTACCTATATGAAGGACCATTTTATCCGGCTGCTGGGGTCGTTTCATGGTCCGGAAGAAGGAGAGAATTCGTAGCTGGAACAAAAGCTATGATTTGGATACTGCCTAAGGATGCTTTTGGAAATAATGTCTCATCAGCAGATGACGATAAGTTGATTTCTTATAATTTCAACTTGTCTGCAACATGTGCAAATGGTTCCATTGCAAGTTTGCTCAATGTCACCAACAAAGAATGGAATAAGTTTGGGTATCTGGGCATTGAGTTTATCATCTCTACAGCTGGAAGTCTAGAGCTTCACGTAGAAGGAGAAAATCAGACATTGAACGGCTCCCCATTGTCATTCAATGTGATTCCTGGTGATTTTTTTAAACACTTGGTGACTTCTTAAATTGATCGCCTAAATGAAGTGAAAAGTTCTCTTCTTAAACATCCCACCATCCACAGTTTTATGCACTAACCAAGTAACCTGTACTGCACTGCACTATATATTCATGATATATGAATATTTCTACTTTTTGTTTCTTTTGAAAGTAACTACCCATCATCTGGTTTTGAGCAATTGCATTCACACATGGTAACTTTTTCTTACAGGGGCACTGGATGTCTCTAGCTGTGTTGCGCAGTGGAACATTGAAACAAATTTTTTCCAATTGTTTTCTCTGATGGAGGGGTTCATTCACCAATATGATAAAAATGGAAATCATGTTCCAGGCTTGTATGAATTTGACGTTGAAGTTGTTGAGTACGGGACAAATTTGATAATGCCTGTCACGGATTTGCAGTTCACCGAAGTTGGTGTGGGAATTCATTTGTTTTCTTTCAGCCTAGTGGAGCCAGGGAACTTTATGCTTGTGATATCTGATAAAGAGAGGAACATCCGCATATCCAACATGCCATATCAGTTTACAGTCTATATAGGTGTTCTCTTGTGTTCTCTCTCCTATTACATTTTAGCAACTTATGTTTTCTTCTTTTTGATCTAAACCATACTCAATTGGTGCTGCTTTTCCTTTTTCAATTGCACTTAGGAAAACATATTGAATAGATTTTTTTCCCTTTTGAGTTGTTTATGACTTAGCTTACATTTCCAATGGAAACTAAGAGACATCATTGACAATATTTTAGCTTCGGGTAATAATGGGCTAAATCAAAATGATATAGGGAGTATTAAATTTTCTTTGATTCCTGCTTTGTTTGAAGTTTTGGGTAGTAAAAAAAGCAATTTAGTAAGGACTTCAAGACGAAACATGTTGGGTCTCTCAAGTTTTTCTTGGCTCTATCAACTCTTATTAATTGCTTTTGAACATTAGGAAATAGGAATTGTAGTCACCAGGCTTTAGTTAGCAAATGTGTTACTAATAGTGATGGAATTTGTGCTTAATTGTTCCAAAAATCATACATTTTTTTGAAGGATACTGTGATGGACTGGGGAGCATTGTTAATGGGACGGGTCTCAATCATTCTGTTGCTGGTGAAACTGCACGGTTTTCCGTTTATTTAAGAGATGCTTATGAATACCCATCTCTAGTTGAGTTACAAGTGCTTCATGTGCAAATTCTTCATGAAGTGGATTCCCAGCCTTTGCAGCCAATCATACATCCAAAGAAGATGGTCAATGGTAATTAGAACTGTCCAATTATTCACCCTGTCCGATCTATATATTTCACTAGCATTGATATTTGTATTCATACAGGCAGTGTTTCTACTGGAAACCTCAATCCAGCTGAACTCCATGAAACAGAAAGAGCTCTTGCTCCGACAACCGACACCAATTTAAATGTATGAGATTGCATTATTGGTTTTCTTTTAGCTGCCTATAATGCACAAATTGAATGGTGAACACATTTTTTTTGGATGCAGTCATCTGAGAACATGAGGTTCAGTGCCTTTGATGTAAGTTACACACCTCATAGGAGTGGAATGTATCGAATTCAGGTATTTTGTGGGAATATCCCTTTGAATGGTGGTCACCCCATTGCAAAAGAAGTAAGTCCAGGTATGGTATGGTATGCTATTCCTAAAAGCTAAAGTGCCTGCTTATTAATTACTCGCTTGGTCCAGAAAAAGAACTTCCCAAGTTGACTTTTCATGGTTTTTAAGGAGAGTTGCAAAAGGTGAAAGTTTACCGAATTACCCTTAATGAAAGTGGGTGAAGTATTGGGTGAGTTGTAAAAAATAAAAAAAAGTTAGGGTAATTGTGGTATTTCAAAGTTCAAAAAGGTAATGGGAAGATCTTTCCGGACAAAAAAAAGGACATTTGGGAAGATATTTCCCGGACAGAGGGAGTACTTATCAGTGTCCGTCCTAAGTTAAGAGTTGGAATTCTCCAATATGCCTTTGTGTGCATGTTTGTCCTTTATCTCCAGATACGTCATGCACCAAAAATACAATGATGATCACTTTAATTGGGTGCAGGTGCTGTTAATGCTTCTCTTTCAGGGGTTGTGAAATTTTCTCGCCAAGTGCCAAAGCGTATGAAGAATGATATAGTCGTGCAGCTAACTGATTCATATGCTAACCCAATCCTCTCACAACAGTCCAAGTTAAAGCTAGAGATTGCTTCAATTAATAAATCAGGTTTTTCGACATCGTTGTTTGTTGACAACAAGGATGGTTCGTATACTGGCACCTATGTTGCCAAGGACACTGGTTCCTATGAGATATGTGCCTCATTTGATGGAACCCATTTCTTGCCGTGCCCCTTTGGTGTGACTGTGTACCCCAGTATGTTTCTATGCGTATACGTCCTATATGCACTTACTTTCTATTCGAGCAGATAACTTTTTCCCCTCTATAGGTGAATACTTTCCTATGGTCCACAATGATTCAGTAAGTTTCTGGGAGGACGAATCTATTGCTTTTGATGCTCTGGAAAATGACTACTTCGCGGGTGACAATGCGACAGTTTTTTACTTCTCAAAGGTTACATTTCATGAACTACAGGCTGCTTCTTGTTTCCCAATTACATGAGTTTACTGATTGCTTTTACTTTTTGATGGAAGCCTGGCCATGGTTCACTTCTGCATTATGGGAAACTTTTCAGATACACTCCCTACAAAGGGTTTACCGGGAATGATTCATTTGCCTACACGATATCTGATATAAATGGAAACCTTGCTTCTGGAAGTGTTAACATATCAGTCCTCAGCATTCCCCCTCAGTTTGTTTCTTATCCTTCTCAGCTCCTAGCAACGGAAGATGTAATTAGTCCCAGATATGGGTATGTAAGAACATACCCTTCTCAGTTCCAACTTGAAATGATATTTGATTTTTCTTTTTTATCTTTTAAAAAAATTCCAGTGGATTTGCTGGGCTTGAGATCATATATTCAGATGTAAATGAGAATATCAGCATATGCCTGAGTGCAAGATTTGGGACGATCCTTCTTTCTCCGATGCAAATGCAATTTTGGCAGCCATCTCAGACACTATCTTCCATGAGCAAAGATGATGGGAAGACTAAATCACTAACTTTATCAGGCAGTTTGGAAGCAATCAATTTTGCGATTCAATCCATTCAGTATTTCGGGTATTCTGAACCATTTTCCAGCATCATGTTAGCATCCGGATACATGTAACCATTTGAAATTAAGCGATAACATACATATGAAATCTTATTTGACATTAGATCTTAAATATACATACTAAGAGAATGATTTTCTTGGGATCTGGTATTCACTTATAAAGGTACATCAGTTCTGAAAACAGTTAGGATCGGTACGGTTCATGTTCTCAGATACTCTTTCTTTGTTTTTTCTTGGAGTCAGGAACGGAAACTTCTCTGGCAGCGACGTGATTACAGTGTCTTCCCGGAACCGGAATGGGAAGAATGATTTAGACATTCCGATATATGTGGAGCCGATCAACGATCCTCCATTCATAAATGTCCCTTCATATGTTTTCTTGGACCAAAGGGTTGACGAAGAACTCATCTTCGATTCACATACAGAGAACTTTGATGCCTTTGTGGGAGATCCAGATCTACTAAACTTTCCTGGTATGCCCACAACTTAGATGAATTCACACTGTTAGGGCCTTCATTGCTAATGAAGCGAAAAGAGTCATTATTGACAATGTTTTGGTTTTCAGCAAATAAACTAAAAGAAACTGCTGACACCATTCATTCGTATTTTTAGGAAATAAGTCGCGATTTCAGGTGATGTGCAGCATGGAAGTGAGCTCTGGATTACTGTCAACAAACCTTCCTGCTGAGCTGATCAGCACAACAGAACTGAAGCTGAAGATTAGTAGTTATCAGTGGCAGCCTGTCCAGACATTTGTGACCATCTCTAAACACTTTTCAGTTAAAGCAAAAGGCATTAGATTCCGCGGAACACTTGACGACTGCAACAGCATTGTGGAGCAATTGGTTTACCATGTAAATGGATTTGGAACCTGACTAGAAAGTGGGGAATTGTCCTTTTTTTTCAATTATTATTATTATTATATCTGATGAATAAATTTCTCATCTAATATGGTGCAGGGAGAAGAACATAGTGCAGTTTTGACTATGACTGTGAATGATATGGGAAACTATGGGTGCTATCCAGACTGTGCTGAGATGATGTCAATGCCTCTTTATGCAGAGGCCACTGTAAATCTGGTAAGACGAAGACCGATGAATGCAGTTCTGGCTAAAGGTAAAAATGTCCAAATTGCCCTCAAACCCTTATGGATGATGCTGCAAAGCCGATGTATTTATTTTAAAATTTGCTTCTATTGATAAAAAAAATCCCAATGGTCCACAGCTCTAGGGATAACAATTATTGTGGAATTCGTTTTTGTGGTTTCTCTTGGAGTATTGCTTCTGTACTTCATCTGCAAGTGTGCAATGGCGCTCATTAACGAAAGAAGAAAGAAGGCATCAAATGATGCACTTTATGGGATTCAAACTTCCCATGAATGTGCAGTAAGTCCTTGTTTGGCTTCCTGTTTTCCACCTTTCGATATTGTTAAGAAAAACCCTACCACGAATCAACGACATATTAAGATATAAAACTTACATACTACCTATGGATTAAACTCAAATCATTGTAGACAACCCCATTAACATTTTCATCACAGAGCAGCAAAGAGCTGAGAGATAATAATGCCAAAAAGTTCACAGGGTGGTGCTGTTCTAGTTCCTTTTTGTTGAGAGCTCTGCCTTCCTCCCACTTCCGACAAAGGTTCGTCCATATCATTCATAATCCAAACTGTTAGGATCTGCATCACAACACAAGAGAGAAACAAGATGATCTCTCTCAAGAACGAAATGCAAAACTGAGAATTATCATCATATCATAAAATATATGTTCAGGTCCAGGAAAAAGCTGGAAATGGGAAAATCTTCCCAAGGCATAGAAATGGTCTCTCCTGAATTGTCAAGTGCAGCATGAAACAAGCTCATCTCATGCTCTAGTACTGCCTTGCTTCTGAACAAAGATGGAAAATATGAAGTTGCCTCTTACCAAGTACATACTAAGGATCTGTTTAGTGAGAAAAAAATAGATATGTGTATTTTGATATCTGGGATAAAGATCATGTATAGTTTTACTTGTTACTTGTTACTTATTCTTATTAGAATCAGATCAGAAATAGTTTTAAATATAACTACATTCAAATCAGATCAGACTAGATTAGATCAGAACTTATTGCAATTAGATCAAAACCAATCAGATTATGTGAAGAAAACATGGCCTGGAAAACCTAAATCGGGTAAAGGGTATGACCAGGATCGGGACCTAAAAATTTCCGTTTTCGAATTGGTTTTTTTCCAGTTCAGTTGGTTTAGACCGGAAAACTCAATATTCTTTTCCTCATATTATTTCAACTTGTTTTTTGACAACCTAGCTTGATTCAACCTTTTTCGTAATCGTTGATTGTGTTTCAAGAAATAATATCAACACACAAATATTTCATCAATAATATATGAGATGCTTCAAATAAAATTTATACTTTCGTTGGTTTCTCACGTTTCAAAAATATTGATAAAGTTATATTTTAATGCATTTCTCTATTATCAAGAATAAGTTGCGTATAAAAATATTTAAAAATCTAAAGTCAAATATTATACCGAGTACTTAAAGTTTTTTATATAAATCAAAATTGGTTTATAATCAAATATAACTAGTACTAAAAGAGAAAATAATAAATACATTCTGGTCTTACCGGTCCAACCAAGAAACCATCTAGTTGTAGACTGGAATTGATCGGAATTATGTCGGTCCTCAATTCTTAGACTAGAGACGGGTCCAGACTTTTACATATCTAGCCCGATCTAGATATTCCAGTCCATTTTTTGGCCTGACCTTAATTTTGTACATCTTAGTCACAATCGTGCAAGTGGTAACAGCTGAAATTGGATAGACAAAAGTTAGCATTTATGAGATTCTACTCTTGAAATGTCAAAAAGACTCTTCAAGCCAAATAACAAAATCGGTTCTGAGAAACAACGCTTGAGGCTAGTTTTTTTAAAATTTTAAATGGAAATATCAGAACGACATCGTGTTTCGTTAAAAAGGTGGAAAAATGTCTTCCGCCGAAGAAAATGTAAATTATTTTCCGTTTAGTTCAGAGAAAACATCCGCCAACATATAACTAAAACATGAAAATTATACCAAAATAGAATATCTTGTATTTTTATTTTATTCCATAAATATGAGTGTTGGAACAGTGGAACATCACAAATTTGACATTGTGTTTTTGCATTTCATAATATTTATTTTGGGCATTATATTTTAATATTATTTAAGATTATACGTCCTATTTTGATATACAAAATCATTGAAAGTTCTATTTTAGTATATGTTTCAGTTTAAGTTAGCTATTTCTCACTTTAGAAATGATTTGCCATCCTATTTTTAGGAATTCATTTCCTCTTACCAATACTTGTTAGTATAGCAATGAATTAGATGTGAGCAAGTGTCCAACAGGCCTCGAAATTTGTCCAAAATTTTGAGAAAGGTGAACTAATAAAATACTGCAAAAACCGATCCGTACAAAACCGAACAGTCGATTCAGTATATAGGAATATTATGAGGTAACTTCTCATATCAAAAGTTCTGAAACGAACGTATATATTCATACTTCGTATATTATAAATTTAATCATCTTTTAATATTTCTCTATTAAGTAATAAGTTTATTTTGAAAATTTTGTTCCAATTTTATTATGTGTACATAAAGATTGAACTTTTATTCAAGTTTTAATTTTTTCCTAAACGAATTTTAAAATATAAACAAGCATCGGAAATATAATTTTGTTATCATTCATTTTCTTTAATTTGTGAAATACTTTGCATAAACTTAGTTTCATAAGAGTTTATTGAATTTGAATATTCATTTTATAGTGTTTTATGTTTCTTTGTTTAAATATATTTTCAATTTTCAAAATATAAAAGGTTTGTTACATGTTAAAGTGTAAATTTGTTACGTATATACTAATTCCGATTTGTACCGAATCATCCTAAGCTATACCGAACCAAAAATTTTGGATCGAAATTGATACACCTTAAAATCTCATATCAAATCAAAATATTTGATATGAGTAGACGTATCAAAGTGTGGGCCGAGTCGGGCGGGTTTCGAGTCGGGCCAAGATGCTACATTACAAAATTTTTCTAGGTCCGAGCTTGGCACGGCCTGTATAGCTGGCCAAACAATTGAAGCCCGAGCCCTGCCCACATGGGTACCTGCAGGCTTCGGGTCAGCCCAGTCTACATGACAACTTCTAAATAATAAAAAAATGAATCCGTTAATATATTAGGTGTTTGATATAATAATTATAATAAGTATATTAAAGAACCACTAATATATAAAATGTGTTTTGTTTAATATTGTTACCATGGTGTGCGGAGTACTCTGCATTACTTATTTAAATATTATTATGAGTGTGTGATACAATGTAAATAATAGGGAGTAATAAAGATGTATTCATTTTATTAAATATACTTATAATTCCTTTTTTTGTTCATAGAAGTATGTATGTATGTTTATAATAATTTGAATTAATATTGTTGTTTTTACTATTATTAATATTGTTGTTATTACTATTTTATTACTCCCTACGTCCTAAAACGTTCTTCTTAGTTACTATTCACATGGTCAAACTTTAATCACTTTTTTCACCTATTTTTGTTATTTATTTGATAAAATAATATAATCTTGCCACCTTTTATTTTGTAGAACTTTTGATGTTGTTTTTAAATATGTAAATTTTATTTTTTTAATTTTACACCTACAATCAAATGAATTGAATTGAAAATAAAATTGGTCAAACCTCATAAACAGAAATGAGAAGAACGTTTTAGGACAAAGGGAGTACAATTATAGTAATAATAAATATTATTAATTGTTCGGGACGGTGTTGTAGAGGTTGTTTTGTAGTGTGTTGTATTTGTTGGGAATCTTTTGCTATTGTTTGTACTTGTTGCTTGTACTTGGTGCCTTATCTGTGCTATACTGTGTTCTCTTCCATATTTTTGTGCAGGTGGAGCCGGGGGTCTCTTGGAAACAGCCTCCCTACTTCCGAGTAGGGGCAAGGTCTGCGTACACACACCCTCCCCAGACCCTACTGTTGTGGGATTCAACTGGGTTGTTGTTGTTGTTCGGGACGGCTGAGTGTGTGAGCTTGAGCATAGAATCTGAGCCCGTCATAAAAATATACGGGCCATCATGTATAAACTCTGAATAGAGCTGGTAACTCAAAATTCAAGCCCAAGCCAGCTACTTTGTGAGCGGGTTTTTACGGTGCGGGTAGATCGGATACTCGGATTCGTGATCGGGTATGGATAGAGTATTTGAAACGATCAACCCTACAAAAAATAGGATCCAGAGTCCCAGCAATTACTATTTGGGCTTTATCCCTGGAGAACAAGAAAAGAAAACTACTCCGTATTTAGACACCATCTGGTTGATGTCACCGACCAAAACCCTCTATCTCTCCATCTAACGATCCTCTGATCTGAGATTTTCCTACAGCTATGGCGTCGATGGTGTCTTCCGCTGGAGGACTTCTGGCGATGTTGAACGAAACCCACCAGGCGCTCAAAGTCTACGCGCTTACAAATCTAATTCGATTCGTTGATTCATTCTGGCCGGAGATCTCTACATCCATTCCCGCAATGTAATCTTCTGCTTATTTTCTCGTGATCTGCAATTGACTTGGGGTTCTTTAGTCTTTCATATTTAATTCCTAATCTGGAAAAAGGTTGAGTTTTTCTTCATAGCCTCTTCGAAGAGCAAAGTTCTACTGTTAAGCTACGAAAATTACGGTCTAGGTTTGTAGGGTATGGTGGCTTTTTTAAGTTTGGAAGAAAGTACATAACAATTAGAAAACTTAAAATTTTGTCCAAATAATGGCTTGAATTTTTAAAAAGTTGAAGAATTTTGTTTGGGTACTTCCAATGATATATGTGCTATGGGCAGAATTCTTGAAAATCTGTTTTGTTTTGTTTTATTAATGTGAATTTTGATACCATAAATGTAAATTTGAAAAGGAATTGGTCCGAAATTTGGTACCATGCCATGTTGTGGCTTATCAGTAATGGTTGCTTGAATTCATTAGTATAATGTATATAGTTTTTAATGCATCATTAATCGAGGAGCCATATCTTGTAAAAAAATACTCTAGCTTTTAATGAATCTACTGTTATACATGAAAAATTTGACTGCACTTTTAACATTATTATCTGAAATATGGGAAGGTCTATTCTCAATTGTGAGCGTTGATTATCTTTTGACACATTTCTATGCAGAGAAAGTTTGTATGAGGATGAGGAATTTGGTCAAAGACAACTTGCTGCTTTGCTAGCATCAATGGTCTGTCATTTGCAATTACTTCTTTATATCTTCATCTATTTCTATTTTTATACTGGTATCTAGTCCATGAAGTTCAATCATTTGACTAAGACAACAACAACAACAACCCAGTTAAATCCCACAAGAGTAGGGTCTGGGGAGGGTGTGTGTACGCAGACCTTACCCCTACTCGAAAGTAGAGAGGCTGTTTCCAAAGAGACCCCCGGCTCAATGTCGAAAGTTGCATTGCTTGACTAACTGCTACTTCATTAATTAAAGAAGCGCAGACAGTTTAGAGATCCATTTTGATTTATTCCATCACACCTCAAAGCCAAAAAATGGTGAAATTTTGGCTCCATCGGAGATGATGGAAAAGAATCATTTGACTAAGAAATATGTTAAATGTTCGAAGAACTTCTCAATATCACAATAACAGTGTTTGTTATTATAATTGAGGCTGCCCGAAATTAGTAGGGATCTTTTGGATAATAGGCCTTGACTCAATTTATATGGAGTATATAATTATAAGTTTAGTGATATTTAATTTCGTAAAAAACAAAAACTGGAAGACATACATTGAGGATCAAAATTGCTATTGTGCATCATCATTGTTGTTGTCATCCCAGTCAAAACTCAAAGTAGTCATTATAACTCTCTTGCTGATCATTTAAATTATTTTAATCTCTCCAGGTCTTCTATTATTTGGGGGATCTTAATGATTCTTTATCTTATGCGCTTGGTGCGGGTCCTTTGTTTGATGTTTCTGAGGAGTCAGACTATGTTCATACTCTCCTTGGTAAAATTCACTTGAATTTCTGTTCCTAGCAAGAGTATTTTACTATGCCTCACTTCAATCATTTTAGGTATTAGTATTTTTAGTTTATCTTATATGGATCATTCACCTCCCCTATTTGCCCTCCACAGCTAAAGCATTAGATGAATATGCTAATCGCAAGGCCAAAGCTGCTGAGGCAAATGATGAGGTAGCTGTTGTGGATCCTAGGTTGGAGGCCATTGTGGAAAGGATGCTTGACAAGTATGTGGAACTCTATTTGCATTTTTGTTCTAGAGTATTCATTTCTAACTTTGCTTTGACATTCTCCTCCCTTTTCAGGTGCGTAGTGGATGGCAAATATCAACATGCGATTGGAATGGCTATTGAGTGCCGAAGGTTAGATAAAGTTGCTGAAGCGATTGTAAGGAGTGATAATATTGATGCAGCTTTGGCTTACTGCAGTAATGTGTCCCACAACTTTGTCAACCGTAGGGAATTTAGACGTGAGGTATAGTATTGAAATACTTCTAATATGTAATAACTCGTCCCCTGCTAAACCAAGGTGAAGGCTTTGTTTTGTTTCTAATTTTTTGAGTGAGGTGGGGGTCAAAGCAATACTTTAAAGAATTTGGATTTGCTATTTGAGTTAGAGGAGAAGTCAACTCATTGTTTTAATATTTGATGAGCAATCATAACTACAATTCCTTCGACTTTTCTTGTGCACTGCTTTCCAGTAGAGTGGTTTAACTTCTTATCTCACATCACATTTCTTCTCATCTCTTCAGCAATATTCCTTACACCCCAAGATCTTTTTTTATCACCTTAGGTCTTAGCCTATTTATGCATATGCCAGCAATGATCTGTTTGTTCTATGTCGAATAGTTTTACAAGTGCTTCAATAAACTAACTAAGTTTGTTTGTTCACAAAATGAAAAAACATGACGTACATTGATTGATTGGTATATTCATTGCTGTATGAATCTTGTTTGTGCTAGGTACTTCGTTTGCTTGTTGTGGTGTATCAGAAGTCTCCATCTCCAAATTATTTGATCATCTGTCAGTGGCTTATGTTTCTTGATAAGCCAAACGATGCTGCTGGCATATTAGAAAAGCTTCTACGCTCAGAAAATAGGGATGATGCTCTAATGGCATTTCAAATAGCCTTTGAGCTTTTAGAGACTGAGAACCAAGCTTTTCTACTCAGCGTGAGAGATCAACTTCCTATGCCAAAGCTTCAACTTTCCGATTCAGTAGCTATTGAGCATAGCACTGCGCAAACTGTAAGCAGCAATGCCCCCGTAACAAATGATTCCCACGTGTCAAGCGGGGATTCATCAGCTGTTGATCCAAATGAAGCAATCTACGCAGAGAGGTTGGAAAAAATCAAAGGCATTTTATCTGGAGAAACCGCAATAAAGTTGACCTTACAGCTCTTGTATAGCCATAATAAGTAGGGCATCTTTCTTCTAAATTTAGCATGCTAAATTTTGCTTGTTTGTTTTCACTTTTCAAATAATAATTACTCTAATTGTTGTTATAGGTCGGATCTCATCACTCTGAAGACAATTAAGCAGTCTGTTGAGATGAGAAACAGTGTTTGTCATAGTGCAACAATTTATGCCAATGCAATAATGCATGCTGGAACAACGGTTGACACATTTCTTAGGGAAAATCTGGTAAATATTGTTACAGATTTTACTTAATAGTCTTGTGCATGTGTGATATCCCTTCTAACTTGCATGTGTGATATCCCTTCTAACTTAAACTTTCACATTTATCAGGACTGGCTCAGCAGGGCAACCAATTGGGCCAAATTTAGTGCAACAGCTGGACTAGGTGTTATCCACAGAGGTCACTTGCAGCAGGGCAGATCCCTGATGGCCCCTTACCTGCCACAGAGTGGGGCTGGAGGTGGCAGTCCGTATTCAGAGGGTGGTGCTTTATATGCTCTAGGGTTAATCCATGCTAATCATGGTGAGGGGATCAAGCAGTTTCTTCGGGATAGCCTGCGGAGCACAAACGTTGAGGTGATCTTATCTCGTTTAGTTACACGCTGCTTGTTTATTTAATTTAATGACAGCAATATTTTTTATATGTGATATCATATGATGCAGGTTATTCAGCATGGTGCTTGTTTAGGCCTTGGGCTGGCTGCTTTGGGCACAGCTGATGAAGACATTTATGATGACATCAAGAATGTTCTTTACACTGACAGCGCCGTTGCTGGTGAAGCTGCTGGAATTGGCATGGGTTTACTAATGGTTGGAACTGCAAGTGAGAAGGTAGGCGAGATGCTTGCTTATGCTCATGAGACACAACATGAGAAAATTATAAGGTATTGACATCTTAATATGCTGTCATTGTTTTGACTCTATATTTCTATAGTGATTGTTCTCTATTTACCATTTTGTACATTCATAGGGGCTTAGCATTGGGGATAGCCCTCACTGTTTATGGAAGGGAAGAAGAAGCTGATACATTGATTGAGCAAATGACTCGGGATCAAGACCCCATATTGCGCTGTGGTGGCATGCACGCATTGGGGTTGGCATACAGAGGAACTGCAAACAATAAGGCTATCCGCCAGTTGCTACATTTTGCTGTGTCAGATGTCAGTGATGATGTCAGGCGAACAGCTGTTTTGGCTCTTGGATTTGTTCTATATTCTGAACCAGAGCAGGTTGGTCCCCCTTTTTTCGGTTGCACTCAAATTCTGATTGTGACAAATTGGGATCTATTCCTCTCTATCATGCAATATTAATTCTCAACCTGATTTCTTTAAATCTTAAACTGTTCTTGCATTTAATTTGCAGACGCCTCGCATTGTTTCGCTGCTATCTGAATCTTACAACCCTCACGTGCGATATGGTGCTGCATTGGCTGTTGGCATTTCTTGTGCTGGTACAGGCTTGAGTGAAGCCATCTCACTGTTAGAGCCTTTGACATCCGATGTTGTTGATTTTGTTCGACAGGGTGCTCTTATAGCAATGGCTATGGTAATGGTTCAAATTAGTGAGGCAAGCGATTCACGAGTTGGTACATTCAGGTACTAGAATCTTGCCATATTTTCAACTCTTATGTTTGAAGTGGGTTAGTTTTATGCTGCCCCCTTTGTCAGTTTTGTAATATAACTTTTATATTTTTCTTAGGCGGCAATTGGAAAAGATTATACTGGATAAGCACGAAGATACCATGAGCAAAATGGGTGCAATATTGGCCACTGGAATACTTGATGCTGGGGGAAGAAATGTGACTATAAAATTGCTTTCAAAGTCAAAACACGATAAGATCACTGCAGTGGTTGGGCTTGCAATTTTCAGCCAGTTTTGGTACTGGTACCCGCTCATATATTTCATCAGCTTGTCTTTCTCGCCTACTGCTTTCGTTGGGCTGAATTATGACCTTAAGGTCCCAAGATTTGAGTTCATGTCTCATGCCAAGCCTTCACTCTTTGAGTATCCCAAGCCAACCACAGTTTCGGCAACGGCATCTGCAGTAAAACTCCCAACAGCAGTTTTGTCTACCTCTGTAAGAGCAAAGGCTAGGGCCAGCAAGAAGGAAGCAGAGAAGGCAAATGCAGATAGAACTTCCGGTGCTGCCGAATCATCCTCTGCTTCTTCTTCAAAGGGGAAGTCTCCTTCTGACAAGGACAGTGAATCTATGCAGGTTTGTCTTGTGCGCACTACATCTTTATTTCCTCAAATAAACGCCAGGGTAACACCATGGATGACACCGTTTGTGAATTTGTACACGCTCGGATGATAATCGTCTCTGATTGTCTGTGAAATTAGAGTTCACCGATGATTATTGTCTGTGTACTTACAAATTCAATCAACGGTGGTGTCAACCGTGGTGGGTTTCAAGCATAACTCTTATTCAATTGAATTGTGAATTGTTTCTGCTCTTGTCGCTCGCCTGTTTAGTGTTGCTTAGTCTTGGTTTGCAGGTGGACACTCATGTAGAAAAGAAGCCAGAACCGGAGCCATCATTTGAAATTTTGACAAATCCGGCCAGGGTGACCCCGGTGCAGGAGAAGTACATTAAGTTTTTGGAAGACTGCAGATATGTGCCGATAAAGCCATCTCCTTCAGGATTTGTGCTAGTGAAGGACCTTAGGCCCGATGAACCCGAAGTCCTCTCTCTTACAGATGCTCCATCTCAGGCATCAAATGTTGCTGCTGCCGATGCACCTGCTGCTGCAACTGCACAGCAAGGCTCAGCTTCTGCAATGAATGTGGATGACGACGAGCCTCAGCCGCCACCAGCCTTTGAATACGCATCATGATCTGGCCACAACTGATGCTTTCTGGGCAGACTGATATTCCTGGGGAGGAACGGGGAGCTGACACACACATCAGAAGCTCTATAACTGCCCTCCATTTGTATCTGCTTGTGTCTTTAAAGCCTGGTTGGTAGTTGTCATTTTGTGTGAATCACATGATTATGTACTCTGTAACTTCTCATGATCTTCAAGGGTAGATTTGTGTTTGGCATTTGATTTATAATTTTTTTTTCAGGAATTCATTTTCTACCCATCATTTGGCATCATATTTAATGTTTTGTTTTTTGTAACATGCCCCATAACCTGAGAATTGGTTGTGTAAGACCTTGTTATGAAGGAATGTTGGTTTCCCTCTTAATCGCAGACACTTTCATGTTTATGTTTATGTAGTGACCCTGTTTTCGGTATACTACATTTTCGTTTAGACCATGCTGGCTTTTTTTAAATAAAAGGACTTAACGGTATTAATGACCGTTATAAATGTGATTATGTATTCATGAATTATTTTTTAAAATCTGTGTTGTGGTACCACTTAGCGGTTTTGCTAGTTGTGTAGTTTTCTTTCGTTGTGTGGCTATGCACTGGTAATGAGAACTATGGTGTCAAATCCAGAGGATGTTGGGACGGAAGAGTTAGTAGAAAGATGCGGGACTGTTTTTAATATTTTAAAATACTTTAGGAATTGAACCCATACTTGTAATTATATTGATCTTATTTAGCTTCTGCACATTTAAATTAAATTATTCCAAAAATTATTTTATCATGTTAGAGAAAATCATGTTTTAAATGTTTTTAAATTACTACCTAGTTTACCTTTTTAAATTATGAGATGTTATTTTATCAAATTGCTAGAGCTTTGGTCCGTTAACCCGCGTGAACCGGGTTATGCGAGTCGGGGTGTTAGCCGTGTTACAACATCAATGTGAGAGCGTATTCCAACATTCTCATGATATAAAGTTTAAAAACTTTTTTCTATATTTTAATGAGTATTTATTTTGAAAATAGTCTAACTTAACACTTAATTAGAGAAGGTCATTTTGAGGAATTAGTGTAAGTTTTAACATCATTTTAATGATCGTTAGACGAGAAACTAATCTGAGTATTATTCTTAATTAACAAGTACAATCTCGATGTTTAATTCATCTTGGGAACTAATTTGAGAAACACATAGCTATTGAGTATCATTTTAGAGAATCTACTCTCACTTTTTTACTATATATAGCTTATTGACTAGTCAATTAACCAAAACACACATTTAATAAATGGCTATTTAAATTGGGTGCTAGCTCAAAAAATAAAAATATGAGTCATGAATTTAATCTTGTGTAAAGTGTCCTATATGTGCTCTGGTATTGTTATTTTTAGTTAGTGAATAGTATGTTATATCATACTCTCTTCGTCTAAATTTTTTTTCATGTTTCGAATAACATGTAAGATCTTAACTATTTTAAAATCATTTAATTTATAAATTGGTATAAAAATAAAAATATAATTTAGACCATTTCCATCCCAAGTGTTTCTGAAATAATTAGATAATACTCCGTAATTGGTGTTATTGAATAACCAAGGATACATCCTATGTATAGGGAATACAAGAGAGAATTTTAAGCATATTAGAATAAGGATTATGGTAAGAATAGAATTTAAAAAGTAAATAATAATTCTATTTCCTATTATTTCTAAAATCTTCTCGCATGCGGATCATCGATAAAGAGAAACAAGTTGGAGCACATGTACTCAGATGGAGTTGACGGAACTGGTTTTGTGAGGATGGCCGTGACAAGTAGTGTAGAAATTTAGAACGTAATGACTTGTTTATTCCGTTGATACTTCGGCCCTATATATACAATACAAGAGATACTAAAACTATCTCTAGAAATACATTTTACAAGGAAACTAACTATATATATACGATTCACAATAAATACAAATTATTTTCAAATATACTATAATACTTCCCTCAAGTTGGAGCATGAAGATAAAAATGCCCAACTTGCATAACAAATATTGAAACAGAGGACCAGAGAGAGCTTTGGTGAAGATATCACCAATATGAAAATGTGTAGGAACCTATGCAGTGACTATATGATTAGGCTGGATGTTTTCCCTAACAATATGATAGTCAATGTTAATGTGTTTAGAGCGCTCATGAAAGACATGGTTAGCACCAACAAACAATGCAGATTTATTATCACAACATAATTTTGGAGTGGCCACACAGGAAACAGCCAGGGCAGCAAGAACACCTTGGATCCAGCGTAGCTCAAGACAAGCATTTGCCATGGCGCGGTACTCAGCTTCTGCGGAAGAACGTGACATGGTGGTCTGCTTTCTGGTACGCCAAGATATAGGAGAACCACCAAGCATAATAAAATAACTAGTTACCAAATGACGAGTGAGTGGACAACTCTCCCAATATGAGTCAGAAAATGTTGTTAATGCGAAATTGCTATCACTGCGGAGAACAAGGCCCTGACTGGGATGGCTCTTTATATACTATATCACTCTGAAAGTAGCATTGAGGCGATCCAACCTTGGATCCTACATAAAATGAGATAAAACATGAACTATATAACAAATATCCGGACGAGTTATTGTTAAGTATAACAAACAACCAACTATCCGATGATACTTTGTCGGATCTTGGATTTCAGCACTCGTGGTTCGTGCTAGATCGTGACCGAATGGAAGGGGTGTGGCGACATGTTTAGATCCCAAGAGATTGCGCTCTTGAATAATATCAAGAACAAACTTTTGCTGATTAATGACCATCCCTTCCCTGGATCGAGCACATTCAATCCCCAAAAAATAAAAAATAGGACCAAGATCTTTAAGATGAAAACACTCATTTAAATACTTTTTGAAAGAAGCACAAAGAGTGGGATTGTTGTTTGCAAAAAGAATGTCATCCACACAAACAAGCATAACCAAGATATCTGAGCCACATTGACAAACAAACAAAGTACGATCATTATGAGCTTGACGAAAACCGTATTTTCGTAAAGCCACACGTAACTTTGCAAACAAGTTTCATGGGGATTGGCATAAACCATACAATGACTTATGCAAATAAAACACCTTTCCGGGATATGTGCGACTGTACCCAAGTGGGAGTTTCATGTAAAGTTCTTCCTTTAGTTCACCATGTAAAAATGTATTATTCACATTTATATGATGAATCTCCCAGCCCCTAGAAACAACAATATATGGTAGAATAAAGACAAGAGCTAATGTAGCTACAGGGGCAAAAGTATTTGAGTAATCAATGCCCAGCTCTTGACGGTTACCCAAGATGACTAACCTGGCTTTGTCACGTTTCTTGGTGCCATCAGATTTATATTTATTTCGGTATACCCATTGACAACCCAAGGCTTTATGATGAAGAGGAAGGTCAACGATATCCCATGTATGGTTTTTGTCCAATGCTAAAAATTCTAGTGCCTTAGCCTCACGCCATGTAGCATACTTCACTACCTCGTGGAATGTTTAGGAATACAAGTGGAATCCACAGCACCAAGAAACCCCTTGTACCTGTTACATAACTTACCATAACGAACATAGTTAGCAATATGGAACCGACGACATACCTAAAGATGAAGAGAAGATAGATGATGGTAAAATGGGAGTATTTGTTTAAACAAGATTAAAGTCATAATTGTATAAATAACTTGGGAGCGTCTGGAAAGAGGAGGAAGGGAAGACGCAATGGGGGCGGAAGAAAGATCCTCTGCTGACGTCAATGGACTGGTTAGAGGGGACGGGTCTATCACTGGTGACTGTCCCGCGATACAGACAAGTGGTGAATGAGGTGATTCAGGTGGGGTTTCAGGTGGTTGGATGGAGGACAGCTGTGCGGGTGAAATTCCCGGCGAGATGACTACCAAGAAACCGCAGGACGACAGTTAAGAGATGGGCTGAGGGATGGTGGAAGTTGACTGTATGGCAAAGGGGAATTGAGACTCATCTAACGATATATCTCGTTTATGGAAAAATTGGCGAGTTTGAAGATTATAAACACGCCATATTTTCGTACCAATGGGATATCTAACGAACATACACTTGAAACATTCGGGTGCAAATTTCTTGTGGGGTTTTGGCATGACACGTAAAGAGCATAAACAATCGAATACACAAAGGTATTTTAGATCTTGAGGTTTAGGTGTAAGAATTTCAAGGGGGATTTACCACCAAGAGTTTTAGTGGGTGTATGATTAATGTGGTAGACTGTAGTTTTGATACACTCACCCCAGAATTCAACAGGTAAAGATGCTTGAAACATGAGTGAACGGGCGAGATTAAGGATGTGTCGATGTTTTTCGTTCGACCCGCCCATTCTGCTGTGAGGTACCTACATAGGGAGTTTGAATTCACACACCCATTTCAGAATAGTTTTTTTGAAGAGAAGAGTTTAAAAATTCAATTCCATTATCAGAACGAAACGACCTTTATGATTTTGGTGTACTGGTGTAAATCATGGTAAAGAAATGTTTGAAACAAGATGCTTCCTCACTTGTATGTGTGATAAGATAATATGCCCACACAGCACGTGAATGATCATCAACAGTAGTGAGAAAATAATGTGCACAAGAAGAAATACATGCAGAATAAGGTCCCAACAAATCACAATAAATCAAATAAAAAACAACATTTGCTTTATTAGAACTAGTTGGAAAAGAAGAACGAGTTTGTTTAGCCACAAAACAAATTTCACAGGTTTGCAATCTCTAAATAACAGGAATACTTTTATTTAAACTAAGAAACGAAAAAATAAAAGACGAAGGATGTCCCAATATTTGATGCAGGATAACAGGGTCGATGGAAGTGGTGAGAGCGGAAGCAACTGGACGAAAGACATACACTCCGTTGCATAAATTACTTCATCCAATCTCCATCTTCAACGTAGGGTCATGTATTACACAACAATGATCATTAAAAATTACATAACAAGTATTGTCACGAACAAGACAACCAACATAAATTAAGTGACAATGAAGTGTAAGACGAAACAACACATGAGTGAGAACTAATTGGGGAGATTACCGAACACTCCCTCGTTTTGTGGTCTGGATGCACGAGCCATCGCGAATGTGTACCGAGTAAGGAACATCATCTTCAACATCATACATACGAGTTAACACGCCTTTCATGTGTTGTGAAGCGCCACTATCTAGCAACCAATCACAAGATGTAAAAACCATACCCACATAAGACTGAGGGATAGATGATTCAAGCATATATATCAAATGAGCCATCTGATCACTAAGACCCCCTGTAGAAGCCTTTTTGGACATGGCACTCACTGTGGCAGCTATACCATTGCCTTGGGACTGTTGTCAACCACTGGTAGAATTACCCGGACGGGTGCATGTGCCTTTGCCGCTAGTTTTCTGACCTCAGCCTCTACAACGTGCCTGACCGCGACCACCACCTCCTCGCTCGTAGTGAGCCGCAAACCCAATAAGCT